CCCCCCAATTGTACCCCCATGGGGCGCCCCCTGCAGGTCAGGAGGACTATTCCCAGGTGATCAGTGTTATTCCAAGGGGCACCTCCTGTGGGGTCAGAGGACCAGTCTCAGGAAGTGAACACGAGGTAGGTTCCAGGCAGCAGGAGGTGCAGGGGATGGGGCAGGAGAGGCGGATTTACCTGTAACTGTGGTTGTTCTGCAGGCGTCTCCCACGCAGCAGGTGAAGCGTGTCCTTATTTCCATTCCATTCCCGAAATTCACAGAGACGGGGCCGGATCTACATTGGCTGGATGTCACACAGCCCTTGAGAACGGTCTGGGTCTTCATTCCCGCTGCACAGGAGGAGACGTCTGAGATTTATTCCCTTTCCACTCACACCCCATCGGTGGCCCTGTGCCTTCCTCTACCCATGGGGAAACTGAGGCACAGGGAGTGGAAGTGACTCCCCTGAGGTCCTGCTGGGCTAGACAAAGCGATTTCAGCACCTAAATACTGGATTTACATCCTCCAGCTCCCCACTCTCCTGCTGTGGGGGAATCAGGTTCCAGGGAATGTTTAACTATTTCATACAACGTGGGGCGGCTTCAACAGGGGAGACTGAGAAACCCACCCAGATCCAGGGGGCCAGGCACGACCGTAGGAGGGGAGAGATCTGGGCTGAAGACCCCAACCCGATTCGGGCCGAGTGGGGATTTGAACTTGTCTCCCTCAGGGTCCAGCTGAGTTCCCAGCCACTGGGGTCTCCTGGCAGCCCCTCCTCCACAGCCGTCATTTGCAAGGAAGGGCTGACCCGGTCCAGACCCCGGATTCCCAGCGAGGGGTTCCCAGCTGTGGATCCCAAGTAGACCCTGGTGCCTCTGTGCCGCCCGCACTTAGGGGCTGAACTCTGGGTGGGGCTTAAGCCACACCCCTCTCCTCGGCATTTCCTATTGGCTGGTTTAGGCGGCTGCCTTCTCGGCGTGCTGGCTCTGGCAGATCCCATCCTCAGGTGCCTCCCTCACCCCATGCACCGTACAGGGAGCCGGGCCCCGGCCCACTGGCTGGCGAGTCGCCTGGGGGTTCGGCACCGAAGGCCCCATTGGGGAGCTAGCCACAGGGTCTGGCATAGAACCCAGGTGTCCTGGCTCCTTACCCGCTGCTCAGACCCACCCACCCCACGCCCTTCCCAGAGCTGGGACTAGGATAGAACCCGGGCGTCCTGGCTCCCCAGACTGTTCCCTGACCCGCGTTGGGTCGGGTCCCTCTCACCTACCCCATGTCATTTCTGTCAGAGCGACGCCACAAGAGTCTTGCCCATCAAGGCAGGTCTGTAGGTCGCCCGAGCAGCTGGTTCCTGGTCCATCGCAAACCTCACACTGCAGACAGGCCCCTGGAGCCAGAGAGAACATGAGCCACCTGGATTTGTCCCTCCCTCACCTTCCCCTGGGCTCTATGGGGAAGCTCTGTGTACAGCGCCCTGGGGTCCCTCATCCACTGCGCTGCCCCAGTTCGGTCCCTCATCCCCGCTGGCTACAGACATTTCACGCTGCTCGGAGGCTGCATCTCCCCAGGTTCGCTGCAGATTTTAGTTCCCCGGTGGGTTTTCCCACCTCACAAACCCCAGAGAGATCCCCAGCGGGTGTGAGCCGGTGTCGCTCTCAGCAAGGGCCGAGTCGCACCTGCCATCGACTCCAGTGCAGCTGCGCCCCCCCCGACACCGGCTGGGGATCACACAGAATGACCCTTCATATAGCCTTGGGCTCCTGCTACTGAAATTCAGACCCGCTGCCTGTCACACAACAGACAATCCCCGGTCGAAATGCCCTTGGCCTCTGGCCAGCTCTGAAACGTGCCCAGTCACGACTCGGTTCTAGTGATTTAAAGTGTAAATATTTCCTCCCATTTCCACAATTGTGTCACTCGCTGTCACGGGGACTTGGTAACTTCCAGCCCTCTCCTCCTGGGACGTTGTCACTCAGACGCCCCCAGCTCAGCCCCCGTTATTCTGCGGCTGCTTTTCGGTTACGTGCGTTAACAGTTTCACCCGGCAGGCAGCTCTGAGCGGTTGGTACTTTGGAGAAGTTAGGAAATCAGCCCCTGTAGGAACACAGCCCCACTTGTAGGAAAGAGAGAGCCGGGAGCGCAGGGTCTGGTGTAAGACCGGTGGCTGGACCCAAAGTCAAAGCAGAGAGTTACCAGGTCAGCGTCTGGTACAGGATCTTGGCAGCAGGGTTGCTAGTGTTGCTAAAACACGGGTTCTCTTGAGAAGTATCAGGCACCGGGTATTCATGTAAACACATTCCAGAAGGCGAGGACAGGTCCACCCCAACGTAAAACTACCATATAAACACCGTCCTGGGAGCCGGAGCAGGGCCACACCGACCCCCAGTGAAGCCAAAGGTAGGAGGACAGAGTGATGGATGGACATGGTGTGTTCGAACCAACAGGAGAAGGTGCAGGGTGGTGGCTCACCCCGTCGGGAGGGTGATACGCAATTTGTTTGTATCAAGGTATAAAAGAGAAATCATAGGGGGGGCACCTTTGTCCGGCTGCTGACTGCGCTGTTAGGACGCTCTAACCACGCAGCCGGGACGCTAGGACTTTTTTCTCTAGCCCCTTCGCCGCTGAACCGAGTCTGTGTCTTTCTGGGTAATACCATCCAGGTCTGCTGTGCCCGCGGAGCTGGGACGGCACACGGAAAGAACAGGCACGCACGCCAACTGTCAACCCCACTCACCCATAGCCAGGAGAGCAGCGAGGATGCAGGTGGCAAGAGAAGCCTCCATGGTGATGGCGAAGCAGTAGATCGGCGCTGGGGTCTGGGATGCAGCCAAATCTCTGGCTGGGGGATTGATCACAGACGAGCTGAAATGAGATCAGACGAGGGACGGCACATGCATGAGCCCATTGATAAGGTGGGTGAAACCACAGAGCTATTTGCCACAGTTCTGGGCTAGCCGCACCTCCGATCCCTTCGTGGCTGTTATGTTCGTGGTACCCACACAGATAAGTCAGAGACAAACCTCAAATGCTCCTGCTGGAAGGTAGCAGCATAAGGTGACTCTGTTTCTGGGAATCCAGAATGATCACACACAAGAACCAAAAACAAGAGGGAGACAAAGCAGGCTGCTCCCTATGGCGGCGAGAGACAACTCAGCCCACCTTGTTCTAGGCTGGTTCTTTGCAGGCTGCCTGTGGTCCCACACTTCCCCGCAGAGCCCCCAGACTGCCAGCAGGACCAGGAAACCCCACTCCCCCAACCCACGCACTCTTAAAGTGATAGCTTGCCATTACAAACAGTCCTCAATACACAATGCCCAGGTCCCTGCAAAGCGGCTCTCAACCATGCACTACTTTTAACAGCGGAGGGATCCCAGGGCCCGGGCCAGGACAAACCCTAATCCCTCTTCCAGAGCCCAATTCCCTCTGTGCCCCCTCCCTACAGACCAGGGCCTGGGGCCCCTGCACAATCACCCCAGGTTCCCCAGGGGGAGGAGGAATTTTACTGACCCCTCCCCTACACTGAGTGGGGGTTTTGCTCCCCACGCCACACAGCTGTGACACCTCCCGCACCCACTTGGGGTCATTCATGTTCGCACAGACCATCAGGCAACCATAGAGTGGGGGGAGACATCCCCTCTCCCTCCTGGGGGCAGCGACCTCTGCCCTCTCCCTCCCACCCCATGCACTGCGCTTGGACACTTCCCACCTTTGGCAGGTGTCGCAGCATTGCCAATGCTTTGCAGCTGCCTCAGTTTCCCCACCTGTGGTTGGGAGCTCAGCCACCCTCCGGCTCTGTTCTGCCCCATGCTCCCTGGTAAGGGGAGGACAGAGCTGATTTCCTGCTCCCGGCTGAAGGAGTCCAAGAGTCTACATGGGAGTCAGAGAGTCACCTCTCCGGTGTGGCAGCGGGTGGCTCTTTCACCCCACCCCACCCCTCAGTCTCAGGCAGCTGTTTGCACTCGCTGGGAGGGGAACTGGAGCACAATGGTGCTTCTCCTTTGATGTGAACCTGCTGCACCCATCAGCTGCCCCGTTTGCATGCTGGCGCTTGCCTTCATCAGCATTCATATGGTGGAGGGGTGGGGGTGGGTGCCAGGACTCCTGGGTTCTCTCCCCAGCTCTGGGAGGGGAGGGGAGTCTAGTGGTTACAGCTCCAACAGACCAGAGAGGTATCACTTACCTAACACTCCTTAGAGAGAAGTTTGCCTGGGGTGAAATAGGTGGCTAATTCTGCGAAACAGAAAGGTGCACCTGTCTCTCTCTTTTTATAGACGGGCTTATAGATGCTGTGATGTAATAGAGAAACAAATGGTTTAGCAAGTTTCTCTGGTCATGCCTATACATTCCTGTTCCCCTCGCCGGCCCTGCCCACCTGTGCACCCTGACAAATACTCCTCTCTTCCTGCCGGGAAATCCTATTCAAGCAGCGGTTTCCAAACTGGGGAACGCGTACCCCTAGGATGTACATGAGCTCTCGTCGGGGGTACGTGTGAGAAATCCTGTAACGGCGGATAACCACAGGAGTAGTTGGACCTCCATCTTTAGAGGGGCAGGGCCCCCAGCCAGCAGCCGCCGCTCTTTGGCTGCCCAGCTCTGAAGTCAGTGCCACCGCCCGAAGCAGCGCAGAACTTCAGAGATGGGCCAAAACTATAAGAGGGTTACAAAAAGAACTAGATAAGTTCATGGAGGATAGGTCCATCAATGGCTATTAGCCAGGCTGGGCAGGGATGGTGTCCCTAGTCTCTGTTTGCCAGCAGCTGGGAATGGGCGACAGGGGATGGATCACTTGATGATTCCCTGTTCTGTTCATTCCCTCGGGGGCACCTGGCATTGGCCACTGTCAGAAGACAGGATACTGGGCTAGATGGACCTTTGGTCTGGCCATTCTTATGTTCTTATGTGTCTCCGCTTCCCCACGCAAAGCAACTAGAAACCTCTCCCTTTGCAAAGTTCTTAGTACCTTGGAGTGCTGGGCATGGGGAGGGCTAAAGCTCTGAGGGTTTTTTTTGTTCTTTTCCCTCCTTTGTTCCATTGACACTCACGTTCAGCCCCGTTTAAACGCAGAGTGGAACGGAGCGACCTGAGCATGGAGAAGAACCTGAGCCCTGCAGTGCAGTTGAGACACAATGCAATGAGCGAAGACGGGAACCGATCCTACCATGCTGGGTAAACCATGCCAGGGCTTTCCATCGCCTTTCTAATGACCTTGACCACAGCTCTGGTTTCAAGCTGGTTGTGAACTGGGTGTAGCCTCTGCACCTCTTCCTTCTATCAGTCAACCGCAACTCCCACACACTGTGTTATAAATGTTATACAAGCACAGAGCTGGATTCCTGCTCCCAACCTAGAGAGAACATCAGATTTAATAAACAAAACCCTGAAAACCTCAAAAACCTTAGAATTATCAAACTTTTGGTGGGAGGTTGGGGGCACGCGTGAATTTCAGCGAAACAATGAAAATGGTTCAGATGAAAATAAAAATTAAGAGTTGAAAAGGGGCTTAAAACGGGCTCAGTTTTGGCTACAAACTGCTACTATGTGAATAATTGTCGGCCTAAAAGTGAATCATTTTCCACCCAAACCCCAAAATCTTTTGACCCCAAACTCTGAAAACACAAACTCTTGTCAGCAAAAATGGCCGTGGGAGGGATGGGAGCAGGATTAGAGAAATTAATTCCCCAACAATGCAAACAACATGAACCCCCAGCCAGCTCTGAAGTTAGACGCTGCTCAGACGGGCGTACATGGTAGACTGCGTTATTTGGAAACAGATACACAGCTGGAAAAGTTGGAAAAACCACTGAATTAGAGGAATGAGTGAAACCAACTCCCCTGGGAAGACTTGGGGTGGCAATGTAGGGTAACAGGTCAAACATGGGACAATGCGGCAAGACTTCTGGGTTCTGTTCCTGGAGCCATGTAGATCAAGGGCAGGACCCTTGGGTCCTACTCCTGTCCTTGGGGAAGCGGGATTCAGTGGTGAGAGACGTGGGGGTGGGAACCAGGACGCCTGGGTTCTATAGAGTGGACAGTGGGGCACAGTGGAGTAGGATTGGTTGGGCCTTGGAAATCTGGGTTCCATAAGAAGGTGGGGTCTAGTGGGTTAACGCAGGAGGAAGGGGGCTTGCAGGTCAGGACTCCTGGGTTCCATTGAGACATGATGGGGGGGCGGGGCTAGTAGTTAAAACTGGTTGTCAGGACTCCTGGGTTCTCTCCCCAGCTCTGAGAGGGGAGTGGGTTCTGGTAGGTTAGTACAGAAGGACTGGAAACCAGGACTCCCGGGTTCGGGTTCTCTTCCCAGCTCCACCAATCACTCCGTGTCCTTGGGAAAGTCACAGGGCCTGTCTTTCCTTTTCGTTTTATACGTTATAGCAATATTGCCAATCTCCACCAGATCTCGTAATAACCTTTGTAAAGTTCGTAGTACATTAATGTGCTGGGCATGGGGAGGGCTAAAGTTCTGAGGGTGTTTTTGGTCCTTTCCCACCTTCATTCCATTGACACTCATGTTCAGCCCCGTTTAAACGCAGAGCAGAACAGGGGGACCTGGCATGAAGAAGAGCCAGGGCCCTGCAAAGCAGTCAAGATTCTACCATTCTGGCACCTGGCAAAATCATTCCAGGAGTTTCCATCACCTTCCTAATGACCTTGACAACAGCTCTGGTTTCAGGCTGGCTGCAAATTGGGGGTAGCCTCTGTTTCTCTTCCTTCTATCAGTCACCCAAATTCTCTCACACTGTCA